TACAGGGTGTATCAGAAGATGGATATTTTCTCCGAACTACGCTGTCCAAACATAACCACTCAGATTTTGTCGAATATAAAACAGATATATTAAAATATATATATATTTTTTTTAAAGTGATTATTAACCTATTATTAATTAATAATTTTTCAATGTAAGTAATTAATATTAGACAATTTTAATGTCTTACGAATATAAAAAATAGCATTTTATTTCAAAGTTTTACTTAAAAAGAATTCTGATCTTAAATTACGAATAAAGAAAGTTGCGGAAATATTTTATAGGGTAGACATGAATTCTTTATTAGTTAAAATTTTTTATTATACATTTAAAATTCAACTTTAAATTTGATCAAGGAATTTATAGTAAATCCATGGACACAGATACACCCTATACGCACGACGAGCTACCGTTGATCGAAACTGCTGAACCAGTTTCGTCTTTCGTGCTAATCCACCTTTGTCGCTCCCCATTCTTTCTCGCACTGCCCGTTCTTTCTAGAAAGCGCACTTTTTTGCGCTCGAACTTTTTTGGCGTTTCGCGGTGACGACTACTGTTTAAATCGCACACTTAAGTACCTTCATAAGTTATACATCTATTCAAACGTTCCGTAAACAATTTCTTGAATGGATCAAATGCAGTCTTTTAGAATTTTAAAGTTTTAATAAAGGACAATTTAAGCTTTTTTTATTCTTATAAATCAAGAACACTTATAAATATAAAACTGTCTCGAAAACAATCACACAATGCAGAATAAATATTATTACTTCAAAGTTATAATTCTCTAAGAAGATAAAGAGCATCCATTCTATGAGTTGAATATTTTTTCAATTTTTCCATATCGATAATTCTAAGCAAATAAATGTAGGATTCAAAAAGTTTAAAACTGCAATTGCACTCAGAAATAAATAATTGAAGAATTTGAAGATATATAATAAGACATATGTATACGTGTATGATGTGTGTGTGTGTGTGTGTGTGTGAGAGAGAGAGAGAGAGAGAGAGAGAGATTTATAAGTAAGAATTGAATGTTGATTAAAACTCTATTTAGCGCAAATTGGAAGTTGTTTCTCTACCAGATCGATCACACCTGTCGCGCTGTGGATCGGATAGGACAAATGCAATCGCGGCGGATGACGGTGCGTATTATCATTCGCAGAATTGCCGCGTAATTAAAATTTATTCGCGCGATATGGCCCGATACCCTGTGTGTTACATTACGACGGTCATGTAATACGCGACAAACACGATAACGACGCGCACGGCGCTCGCCAGAACGACTATACAGAGGCTCATTAAGGGAATTTACCGGCGATCGCATTGCATTAAGCTCTTTGCCGGAGCCGGGGCTAGCTTAAGCACGGCCAAACGCAGCTGCATATAAATTGATAATTTCACGAAAGCATGCATACTATGTGCATTTTAACGCTTGTGTCGAGGATATACGATCGGGATTACGCTCCCCCGGAAAGGAGCACTACGTACTGCTGGAGTAATACCGCTGGATCACGAGAGTAATTTTAACTCAAAGGCTCTTCATTAACACTGATCCCTGTTTGAAAACACATCCTTAACGCTCCGCGTATAGCTGATGCCGTCGAAGTCTGCTTCCATCGATGTTAGCCAGGTCTTCTTCATCCTTCAATAAAACTCCGAGAAATTGTGAAGAGACTTCAATAGTTGCACTCAAAAAAAAATCACTTTCGGCTGTTTTTTTTTGACAAATTATAAAAAATTGGTTTTCTCAACAAATCTTTCTGTTTATATACTTTGCTTTCTCCTTTTTCTTTCCATATTTCTGTTAAATCTATTTTTCTTTTATTTGTCATTTAGATTATACATAATATATTACTTCCTTTTTTGTTAGTTATAAGTGTTTCTTATCGCAAGTTTTATTTTATTAAAAAATGTGAAGAATATAAAAAATAATGTCATTTTTTTTATTTTTTTAGGGGTATTGCAAAAGCAGGCGAACCCAACAATTTTTTACCGATGTCAGCAGGTTCCATACACATGGAACCGGTCTACGCTACCCTAAGAAGAAAACAGAGGAGGCTCGCTAGAGAAAATCCGGGAGTATTGATGGCAGTGTCAAGGGGTGCGAACCAAGCTATCGCCGAATGTCAACATCAGTTTCGCAACAGGCGATGGAATTGCTCGACGAAAAATTTTCTAAGAGGAAAAAATCTTTTCGGCAAGATCGTCGACAGAGGTAAGGAAAGATCAAGTTTGATAATATATGCTATGAAGAATTAATTATCAGCTAACAATACTGAGAACTTAATCATTATGAAAGTATTATAATTTGCCTACTCGATTATGCTATTTATTTTTATGATTATATCCAAGAACTAATAGTTAATTCCGTTGAATATTTTTATAAAAAGCAATGTGTTTTATCCTAAGACGCTATTGTATGTAAATTTGATGTATAAATGAACGAAATCATTGAGCATCAAGCTATGCTTTCAATGATTAGTAGAATTAAATTTAATAATCTGCTTAATTTTTCTTTTCTTTTACTAATTAGATTATTTAAATTATCTTATAAATATCTAGACAAAAATAATAAGATAGATAAATATTTATCAATAAAAGTATGAAAATTTTATGTTACATTAGGAGTAATTTACTTCCTCGGATGTAAAATTTACGTCTCAATATATATATCAATATATATATCAATATATATAGTAATATATACTGTATCATTCAATATTGATAGCTCGTTCT